CCTGCAAAAACAGGTTGAATATAGGTCCTCTCCACCTTGAAACTCTTTTTTGATCCGTGGTAAGTCGTTTCATCTTACGGTTTGTGACCACGATCATTTATCCCTTGACACTAGGGCCCTGTATAGATCGAAGTTCTCTCCTAAAGTAATCCTGCGTCCCCATGTATGTTGACCAAACTGTTTTCTTCGACGCGTTCAGATGTAGATGCAAAACTAGGCCGACCCCAGAAAAACCTCCATTAATTCTAAAAGTTAAGAGCTGGTTACCGTTTTTTCAATGTCGATCCTTGGCTTCTTAGTCTCCAGTTCTCATTTCCTCAATATAAGCTGACTTCAGTATGATTATATGGGGATTCTTCCTGATCGCGACGCACAAATGCGATGACATAAATTTTTGACAGTGTTATAAAAATTCTTCGGTTAGAGAGACAGAATGGTTGTAAAGATTGTTAAAGTCTTAGAAGAGCTGGAGAGATACTGAGATAGAGCTTCCAATATTGAAGAGAATAGTGTGCGGCACAGTTCGTTTTCAGAACACAAGCGTTGCTAGATATACAGTCAATTATAGATGACATCGTATTACACCATTTTAGTTGGTCTCCTAGGTAGAGTCTCGAAAGCTATAATAAGTATTCTGCATGATATAGGAGGTCATTTGTTTGAATCCAAGATATTTTGACCAAATTCTTCATAGCACTCATATACCAGATGATAAAGGCAAAGTTATATAACCAAAAGTTATAACACTTCCCTGTAATAGATAATCACAGAGAGTGGTGGTCTATTTCTCGTAGAGCAGCATGTTTCATAGCGATGATTTAGAATAAGGCGCATTCTGTTTGAATTTACGATGCTGAAACGTATTGTCTTACATGCCAGACACTGAAGACCTTGTTAGGCTAGATAAATGCACACAAATTTGCTTTCCGAACATATAAATTCTTCAGTCGTCCTGCTGTTGTTGTTGTTGTTTTATGAATGTCCTAAGCTAAAGCTATAAGTCCACTATGAGTACAGGACCAGTGTTCACAGCCAGGACTATATGTAAGTCACATCCAGCTCGATTCCACCGCATGAACCACTAAAAAACCTGTAATCGGTTAAAACTAGGCGCCGCATCAACTCTATCCCCCAAAACTGACAGAACTACACATTGCAAAGAAATTAGAATGGGTACCAATACTTGTCGCCTTGATTCCCGTCTAGTCAGGTTTAATCTCCTGACAAATTATATTCGATCTCCATTGAGAGTAGGAGATGGGTGCACAAGAGAATACCCAAAACAATTGGTATACTGCGCAAATTGTTTGAAGCTCTCGAAGCACTTAGGCCCGAGTAGCTTGTGTAGGAGGACACTGTATGGCAATAACCCTCTGATTCGATGCGTGATGTTTGCGCTGAGTTGATAATGTATGGAGTGCGTAGGGGAGGTTTCCTCCCCACAGGTGCACTCTATGAAAGTGTGTGGACTGTTGAAGCGACAATGGTGCGCCGCGAAATTGCCGTGGCCCGTACGGGCTGCAATGAGATTTTGTAATAATTGTCTAGAAAGCCACAGCGCCGGTGGTTTGCGACGGCGCATGAGCAGATCCAGCTCACGATACCGTGGTGAGCAAGTTTCATTCCGCCAATTGTCTAGCAAAGCCTATCGTTGGCGATGCAATTTTTGATTTGGAAGTGCCGTCGTAACGGTTGATGGCTGAGTTCCTACACTGGAAAATGTCCGAAGGCCGGATCTGGCCGCTGAGTCTGCTTCCTCAATTCCATCTAATTCTGAGTGCCCTGGTACCCACTTTATTCTTACCTGAGCTAGCCTACATAGTTCGTAAAATTTTCGTAATTCCTAGTGGCTGGTCAAGGACCTGCCCGTGCTCAGTGCATTTATTACTTGACGACTATCCACCAGCACATTAATGCACTGCGTCACTCCTTTCGGTTGCTCTTACTTCCGTCTCAGGTGACTCAGTGCTGCTTTAAGAGCTTCCTGTGCCCCTGTGCCCCCGTGATCTCTGAATCTAGAGCCTCTCCACCGTGCTTTATGCCACTTTCTTTTAGGAAAGATTTCCCATCCAGCTTTAAGACGAACCCCCGAGCTGAGCGTCAGTTTCCTTCCGATGATCCGTCCGAGTAAGCACAAATTTGTGACTTTGGCACAGTGGTTTTTATTTTGGTTTGTTCATTAATGTGCTAGGTTACATGAGTACCGTTGCACTCCTATTGGAGCTTAAGCACGTGTGGGGTTGGGCTGGATCAGGTTAACTACCGTGAAGTACAGATAAACCTCGTCCCACTTTGATGACCGGACCACCTCAGACTTCACCTATGTGTTGAATCATACCAAGCCTAACCGTCCAGAAACCTGCTGTATACACACCGTAGCGCGATTTCCTCTTCAGCCTCGGCCACCACGCGCCCGAGCCCTTGATATCCTCATTGGCTCTGAAATATAAATGCCGTCCAAGATCTCATCGTTGCTCTAGCCTTGCACCTTCATATCGTGACGTTGGGTTGTTTTCGTCATTGGGGATTTGTGTAATCCCCTCGGTGTATCTTTCCCCTTCTTCATCCTTTGTACACGTCCCATTTCCATCATGACTTTCCTTATTAGGGCGTGTGTAGGTAGGTGATCGGACGATCATAGAAGTGGGTCGCAGGTATATGATCGACTGAGAAATGCTTCGTCGCAAATATAAAAGGAGTTTGAGAGATGTCGGATGTTTGAATACGACCCCCAGACAGACCTAGGCCCATTCGTGAATCGTATGTTAGTGGTGATGAGTTTTTATTCGACTTTCTTGCGGCTGTGACATCTCTGCCGACTGATTTTTCGACCAAGATATTGAGTGCAACTCCTTTAAGTCGAAAATCCGTCAAATAAATTCATCCCACCCCTCTTCGTGACCGAATCTCGACTCTGGGAGAATATTTAACTCCCAGGTTCGTGGAGGACACCACTGACAGGTGCTCAGCCTTCGTTCTCTTTGGCACAGTGGTGATCCAACGTGTTGTAATTTCGCACCAGTTGCTTAATCTGGAACTACACAATTGAGGGCAATGATCAGCAAGGTTGATTGGAAATAACTTAGCACACGGACGCACTAGTCTATGATGAGGTTAGCGGTAAAGACAGGTAATTTGAGGAAATATTAGATACTTTATGTAATATATGTTCTTTGAATAATACAACAATATTAAAGACATTACGTGAATAATTTATTTGATTTATTAAATACGAAGTAATTTAAAGTTGTGCCTATATTCTTTGAGTGAGTTTCCTTTAAGAACCATTACACAACTTCCACCACAACGTTTACAGGCTTCTATTTCGTTTTTTTCTCGAACCAGCCTTCGAACCTGGCCGCGATTGGTAAAATGGTGAGGTAAGAGGTTCTGCGATCTCTAATTGTGGTGGCTGTCTGTTAGCACGCTGAGCCCGTGACATTTGAATTACAAGACGCGCAAATTTTTAATTGTTCTTCTCATATTTCCGCGGAAAAACATTTGGGCAAACCGCAACACGGATCATGAGCGGATGGCAGCCATCAGGTGTTTGCACCCCGGCAGAGAGGCGAAGTCAGTTTCCTTCTATTATGATTTTCTCGGCTGTTATTCCTCCTTCTCTATGTATTACGGCGTTAGGTGTTGTTCTCAGTCGTCCTGATATGGTTGGCGAGTATCAGTCAAGATAACCAGGTGATATTGATTTTACACGGACTTTTGTATACCACTAATGCTCAGTAGAAGTCAGACCTTTTAGTATACAATTATCTAAATACAACACGTCCTCAAAGCTGGCAAATTATCCTCTATAGGTAGATAATTTATTCACGCAGAAGATAGGTCTTTATTTTAGTGTATACCAGTGAAGTTGGCCTCTACTTCGGCAAGTTTTCCGATCATCAAATTCGGAATTCAACGCTGGGAATCACAATAGTATAATCTAGTACTGTTGTAGGGTCATGGAATATGGCTTGCCTTTCCTTTGTACGCATGCCGGTAGCTTGTAGAAAATCTCCCTAACGACCGACGCAGAAGCGAGCGACGTAGTTTTCTATCCTTAGGAGGCAGGTATTTGATTGATGTGAGCTCTCTGGATAGAGTAATACAGTTTTCTCATGTTCGAACTTAAGGAATTTGTTCTTGGATCAGCCCTAGTATTTCTCTTATTTTTTTACTGATTTTAGGTCCTAAGCTATGCTCTACATCTCCTAGGAGTCAAGGACCGGTATTTCTATTGTTGTTGAGCACATTGGCAAAGAACTAACTTATAAATAAAAGTTTTCGTTAGTATTGAGTCTCTTTTCGTCTTGTGTCAACCAAAGACTTGTATCGATAGCTGTAGACGACTATTTTGAGATCGAGGTTTTGAATATGGGCAGTTGGGTGTACTCACCATGCTTAACTAAACTAGTGCATATAAGGCTTTTTTAAATTCATGAATTATATTTACACATAATCTGTAGCTTGTTCACGCAGGTAAACTTGAGTGTTCAGAGATTAGCATGATCTAATCACTGTGGGGCGCTTCTTACAATTTGAACTAATCTATGCAATGATATGCATACTTGGGAAGGCTTGCACGGTCTTCACTGAAATAATCCGCCTGTCATATAGACCGTGGTGGATACGTTGCCACAACGACCTGTCGATCCCCGACACATCAAGCCCCGATATGAAATAAGAGCTTGGTTCAGACTTGCCAGGAAGTAGAACTTCCATGCCATATGCCGGAGAAATGTAACAAATTTTTTACTATAACCTCCGTGAATTGCAAGGAATGTCAATCCTGGAGTAGTAAATGTTGATAGACTTACGAGGAATGTGTTTCAACAGTGGCTGTTGAAACTACATGCCTTAAAACGTATCACGTGATATATACGCGTTTTCGGTAACCTGCCTCGCTGTCTGCTAGCTCCCTTATTTTTACGACTAACTAGCTTGTTCGGTTCCCACAGTAGGGCTAGAGGCAATGGTCAACGTGTACTGTAAAGCTGCAATAGATGTCTTCCCATCTCATCCACGCTAACAGGAAAGATATGACAGCGCGTTCTTCAGCGAGATATTCGCCTCCCCCCCGAAATAATGCGCCGCCTGGCTCAAATTCACATGGCCCTCAACCGAGGAATAGTTATCAACCACAGACAGGACGGGAACGATTTAGGGACAGGCCTTCCCAATCCCGACACTATCCGGAATATGATGACTATGATTATGAGTTTGAACAAAGTGGTGGTAGCAGCAACTTCCGCCCGCCAAATCTCCAATTACCACCGCGTGAGTAAAGCGATCATTGAGCTAAATGGGTGTTGAACTTCAAGACACCGCCTTCGATCCTTCACAAAACTTTTTTTTGCGAGGAAGACACTAACACCATGAAAGGCCCTGCTCGTAAACAAACAACGCCACCTAAGAATGGCCAAGACGCCTCGCATCACCAAGAACTGCCGTCTGGTGCCGTCACAACGGGATCTTCCGACACTCCCATGCCAGACGTAAATGCGTCTATATCCTGGCCCAATGAAACAACCAAAAACTGTGAAGAGTTAATTAGCCAGTTCCTGGAATCCATAACCGATGTCTCCTGTCTGAAGGCCGAAAACAATAAGGCAACTCTTAGGCTTGACCTCTGCAAGGAGAGATATAACAAAAATATCTGCCATCATTCAAAGTTCCCAAATCTCAAAATTACTCTCCAGAATGAAGTTGAAAGGGCAAAAGAAATAGTTGATCAGATTGACGAAAGATTAGTCCAAAGAGATAGCATGTTGAGAAAGTTGGCAAAACAGTTAATTCCTGTTTTGATTCCTGCGGCCACAGCGCCTAGCATTAAAGACAGTAAAGATAGTGAAGAAATAATGTTATTCGAAAGATCCGAGAAATCTATTGCCAATGTACAACAGCAGTTTCTCGAATTACAGCGAGAACTCAGTCAAATTTCAAACGAGCGCACTTCAAAGGAATCATTTATGGAAAAACAAATCGCACAGCAAAGTGAAAAGATGCTGGAGATCATCAAATCTGACTTAGCGAGGCAAAAAGAACTTACAGAAGTTAAAGCTCAGCTCCGCACCTTGAACAATGAAATATCAGTATTGAAGCAGGATACAACTACTTCTCGTAAGGAAATCAAAGCCTACAATAAGATCGCCGACGGTGCTGTAAAAAATTGTAGCACTCTTGAGAAGCGTTTGGTACAAATAGATCAAAAATTTCAAGGGAAAGTTGAGCAAATCGAAGATAAAATTGAACCTATTCAATCTTTCAAAACCAGTATTAATAACCTTCAAGAAAAAATTGATTCCAGCTCGAAAGCCTCGGAGGTTGATAAAATTTCTGCAGCGCTCAAAGATACAGTTGATCGCATAGATTTACTTCCAAACACAGCATCCTATTCAACACTATCGTCTAAGATAGAGACTTTGGAAAAAGAAAAGGTACCAAAATCATTACTAAACCAAATTTCAAATCAGATATTAAATCAGATTACAAATCAGCTGTCCAAGCAGATTTCTACACTTGCAGGTCAAGATATTCCAAACCGCTTAAAGGTTCTTGAGAACAAAGCTTCTGTGGAAATAGAATCACAGTCACTGAATAGGTCTGACATTATGGCCATGGAAGAAAAGATGGAATCAATATCCAAGTTGATGGCAACAAATGCTAGCGTCCAGGTAAAACATGACGAGCTTTCGAGTGTGCGTACAACTACAGAAGAGCTGCAAAAAACACTAACTACGGTTCAAGCAAAACTGACAATCTTGCAAGAAAGATCCCCTGAGATGCCACTGGCTGGCATTCTAGACGCGAGTTCTGAAAAATTCGTGGAGACTAAAATTATGAAATTTCTTGAAGATCCCTCTAAAAAGATAAAAGAACTTTGCGAGCTTTTTGCCGCGACCAATCATTCTCTGGGGAATTTAACTGCACGTGTAAATAATATCTCAACTGGTCACCTAGCTCAAGCAATTCTGGGTCGACTTTCAGAAACATACCCTCATATCCAAAATGTAGAACAGCTATACGTATCTCATGGAGTGAAGTTACGTGAAATCGAATCTAGATTGGATAGTCTTGGAAACCAAGAGGCTATTGACGGTCAATCTGCTCTCTCAAATCTCAATGCGATAAAACATTTAAACTTGGAAGTTGAAAAAATTTGGGCCGATGTTCTGAATGCAAACTCAAATATCATGAAGTTAGCTTCTGCTACAGATGAGGACCGAAGATATATTTCCGAAAAGCTCACAACTAGGCTAGACAGTCTTGTAGACTCGTCGGATCTCAACAATCACAAGAACGAGCTTTTCTATCAAGTTAAAGGTCTAGTTGAAAGGGGAATTGAAGAATTCAGCAAAAAAATAATAGCACCTCAGCTAAACAAGTTATCAAAGACCTCAACACTAGACGCATCACTAGAAGCCAGCCTTGAAACCCGGATTAAAACTCGTGTTTCTGAGACCCTACTTGAGAATGAAACTGCACTCTTCGCAAAAATCGAAGATGACATCGCTGCATTAAAAGATATACTTGAGGCTCAGATGCAAAAAGACCTTCAGGACCAGAAGAAAGAGCTCGAAGAGCTCGTCATCGCTCAAGTTGATAGAAGCTTAGTCTCTAAGCGTTCTGATCTAGTGAAAGAGCTTTCTAGAAGGGTTGATACTAAGATTTTCATTGAAGAACCCCGGGCTTCACCTGCCATCGGTAGATCAACCCCTGTATCAACACCAACTCTAATCTCCTCCAAAACTCGCCGTCAATCCTGCGACTCCAGCATTTCGAATGAGGTCAGCAAATCATCATCCACAAACAAGCATGCTGCCGAAAACTCTATTCAAGATTCTCAATCTAGCAGGAGCAAAAAAAGAAAGCTTCAAAACGCAAGATCCTCAAAGCTCAGTTGTCTCAGAGGAAATAGTATTCCTGCTTTAAAGAAAGTAGCTAGCACTCCCACAGCTGCCTCCGAAAGGAAAATGCGTTCTGAAACTCAACCCGACGATAACACGACCGACAAAGCAAAGCACAAAAAAAAGGAATAGGAAATATTTATACAAATTAATATGAGTTTATAGGGAAATGCAACAACAGAACGGCTCAACGCGCCCAATATGCGAAAAAGCATATCATTAATTTAATGGCCTTTTATGCTCGTTGGCAAGACGCTTAAATAAGAATTTCGCAAAATAGGCTTATGCAAATTACAATGAAGCTATGGTTTTCCTCAGCCACAAGGCCTAAACACCATCTCGTTGCTCCATTACGGTACTCCATATTTTCTCAAAATTACCGATTTGAATTTAGACGTTACATTTATATCATTGTGTTAATACACTTTGACCGCAAATCATAGGGAGTCTGCCTTTCCAAGACACAAGTATATGGAATAAGAAAGGTTTCTGGTTATCAAAGACCCCGGAGAAATGATACAAGGCTCTTCACGTTCAGAAGAAAATTTCAGGGTCAACACTAGCAAGATGCCAACCCCGTATCAGTAATTCCCTGTTTACAGATAGCCACAGTACAACATTCCCAAATTAACCAGCATTATATGGAGGCTAAGACCAACTCACACGAAACCTAACCCATACAATACTAGGAATAATAGTGAGACCAAGCCTATCGAATACGGCTTCGAAGTCCTAGGCAAATCTTCCCAGGCACCTGCGATGAATCAACCTTGTTCACGCCAGAAGGAAATTGGTGAACTGAAGCCGATTCATCTAATTTACTATTTTATCTAATCAAAATTCTATCAAACATTATACATAAATGGCCCTGGACAGTGTTTCTATAGTATTATATTTGCCACATATCTTAAGGGTTATTGGAAATTTCGCACGGTTTTGGGTGGCACAACGAGTAATTAGATTATTGCAAATCAGGAAAGAATCATCGAATTTCTCATCGTCAAGTAATCTTTAGTTACAATGGCAAGCCTGAGGCGAAACGAAACGCATGATAGAGTATGCTCGAGCTTCTCTTCGTCAGCCCTAATGGGGTATAGAATTTAATTTTTCGCTTGATGAACCATGACATACCTCCCTAATAAATTGAGATTCTCTACTTTCTTCCAGAATTTCTGGTCTTGTGATAGCCTTTTGAAATTCAAAGTGTGTGAGAATGCTCGTGACAGACCTGATGGTAGCGTCATTTATTACTTTGTTTTAAAATATATTCATAACCATTCAAACCATTCATTCGTTCTTCTAGCGACAAAATAATCGAAATTTTTAGGTGAGATGGTTGAGACGCGTTGAGTAGTCAAGCCTTCCTAACGTAGGTTTTGTATGAATTATATCACTGAAGTAGAAACGAGTACACTCGAGTGATTGCCGACGTGAAGGATTTATGGACAGGAGGTTTGGATTATAGTTCTAGGGGAAATTAGAGTGACATCGCACATTACACACATCACATATTCCATCGCCATTGGCGGTCCTCAAGTATTCCTGTACTAGCTTGTTGAGGGTTCGGTTAGACGTAGTACAATTTACTTTCATGTCGTGATTATTTGACATGTTATCCTCTTTCCTCAGGAGCAATGACCCGATTCTGATTGAGCTGGACACGCTTCCTGAGTATTTCGTCGCATTATGGGGCGCGTAGGAACATCCTAGGACGAGTGGCATGGATAGGAGCAAGCCAATGGACCACGGGGAGAAATTTGGGTGAGACTTCGCTAGGCTGTATTTAGAGCCACACGTATCACATCACTATAATAGTGCTCGATCACCCAGTTGATTTTGCCTCTTGAGACTTTTTCAACTTATCCCCTTTAATTTTGAGCGCATACTTGACGAGGTCGCCGGCGGCATTTGCATCTTCTTTGCTGTCGTGCCCGGCCCTTTCAGATTGACTTGTTCCTTGAATTTGGCGGCTCAGAAGGGTTTTTGTCAGAACTTTGAGGCTGTTTCGATAAGGCAGTCCTGCTTTATGTGGGAAAAGAAGTGCGGTATCGATCAATGTAGGGTGAATCACACGGATTGCGTTGAGGTCATTTTCTAGACCATGCCCGATTAGGGGTGTTGTCGGAGCAAGGAAAGAGAAGAGTAAGGACCGAGCCTCGGCGGGTGATGGGACAATGTGTAATCTTGGACTATTAGTAGGCGTTTTTGATGTCCATGGAGGTGCATTAGCCATATCTTCGGGATAGACACCTGAATATCGGGAGTTTAAATCAAGTACTGGTCCGAAAGGGCGTACAAGTACGTCGAATAACTCGCTGCCATCGAGCCAAGATGTTGCAGTCAGGCGAATAAGCTCAAGTCCGTGTACTGTATACCCCATCTCTCCGTCTAAACACACTGGGATTTTTGAAGTTAAAGTAGGGTTACTTGGTGTAGTCTTAAAGTTCAGAATAGTGGCTAGTCGCTTAACTTCTGATATCTTAAAGACATGACATGGTGCTGTGGTGCATCCAGGTGAATCACCCAAGGATTCTTCGCAGCAGCGATATTTCCTATCACGTTTTGCTTTGGGATTTGATGTGGATTTTTCAGGGGTGTAAGGCTTCCCGAAGTGATAAGTACACTGACCTCCAGAAGTTAGAGCACCATCTTCCTCTCTGCGCCCAGGAAAAACTTCAAACCGAGTTTTACATCGGTCACAAACTTCCCAGCCCTTTGCAGCTTCAATACCCTTTCGGGCAGATTCAATCTCTTCGTCGGTCGGACAAGCTGTAACATAACCGTGTTTAGAAAGATCAGTCACAAGAGTGTAGAGCTGTGGAAGTAATTCCAGTTCTTCTTTAAGACTAAATCCAGTCTCAATAGGCTGTAGGGCCTTAATACCTTTAGACCCTCCCACCTGATTCGATTGCATCTTTTCCACAGTTTTTGACCGTGCAATATCTTGAACTAGCTCTTCCGTCCATTGCTTGAGGCTCATTCGCTTGTAAACTAAAATTTTATTTTTTACTAAATTTGAGTAAACAGATGGGGAACTAGACGATTCTTCTTCAATATCTAGCGCTCTTTTTATGAGGGCTTGTTCAGAGAGAACTAATCCTAAATTCGAGGTTTCTTTGTCGTTGGCAACCTCAGAGTTGAGACGTGAAAATTGGTCGTAGAGAGCTCGTAGAAGACGGTAACGCATGTCATGCGATGCTGGTGCTTTGTATTTGAGGGCCCGAGGATTTAAGGCCTCTAATTTAAGACATTTCTCGACAGGAGGCTTAGCCTCATTTTTATGTGGTTGAGCTGAAGTTGGAGGTGATACTGGTGCAGGAGTTTTCTTAACTATAGCTACACTCCCAGCTTCTGTCTTTCTCCTCACTGGTGGTGTCGATTTTTGTTCAGCAGTTACTAGAATGCGCTTTTTAGATGCAACACTAGGTGGGGCTGGAGGTTTCGGTTCAAAGCTTCTTTTTTCTGCGATGTTTCTTTTTACATTCTGTATATTTGGTAAGGAATCAGTAGTAGTATCTAGAGCTTCTGTGTTGATAAGACTTTCAACGACTGGGGTTAATTGAGCTGAATGCTTAAAAATGCACCTTGGAAGGACACAGGTGTCTTGATGTGGGCATGAAACAAGTGAAAATAAATTTCTGGTGGTAAACATTGTTTAATATATTTTATTGAGACGCCATAAACGGAAATATTTCTTTGGATCAACGTGTTTAAAATAACGAAGAAAGTGATTTTGTGGTGTTGATATTGTAAATGTATAGCGTGAATACACTTGTGAAGAGAATGACGTGACTGGTTACAGCTAACTAGCAAGACGCTACATTGCCTACAACATTTGGCGCACAAACATCACATGCACGCTATTCATTGCAAGACCAATAAGGCTTGATGTCCTGTAATTGGTGTCTCCTACAAACAGTCGGCGTCCACCAAAGAGTTTGCAGAGCCGAGCGGATACCCTTTCAACTTTGAGGTAAGTAATTTTCCTCTCCCTAAAGTTTACGCTTCCAACAATTCAAAGTACTACAATGATCTTGGGAAAAAGGAGAGTTATTGCGGTACCATACGCTACAGCGTTAGAGAAGCCCTCGCCATATCACAACATGTGCTACCCACCGGCGGGTAGATAAAAAGCCAATGAAAGAAAGTAAAGGACCCTTACACCCACAACAAAAGTATATTTCAACTTGTCAATGAAGTTGTCTCTTCTATCTCTAACCTCCAAATCAACTAGCCAGGAAAGCATCAGAGGTACATGAGTTACTAGACAATCCCATATCCGTAACGACTTTTGAGCGCTGGAGTAAAATTTTTCAAGACAATTATACTCGACCAAGCTTTCTCTTACATCTTTTTATAACCTTCGGTTTATCCTGTAGAACGAATCAGATATAGAGTTTGATGCAATCGAGGAAGAGAGAAAAAGATATCAGTACTTATATACAGGTCTACTATGCTCTGCTGGCTGGTCTCTTATGACGCTTCAAAAGGGTAGCTATATCTTGGGATTTAGTCCAGTTGTTAGTGATAGCAGAGTCTCGCGACCTGCTGTTTTTGAGACTTTCCCCTGCGGCTACACACCAGGAAATGGCCATTGTTTTACTATCTGAGAGAATATAACGATGGGATAATGGGTCTCCGAGATGTGTAATCAAGTGAGGACCTAAGGGGGCATTAACGCTAGAAAGAAGCAGTGAAGAAGGCATAGGAAAGGGTATACTACACGAGGCATACATACTATCGGTATATTCGCAAATAGTAATATTATATTCTTCCACAGTCAGGTACTCAATTATAAGTCAACGACTGGCTCACTTGCTATCTTTTATAACTTAAGTACTTCGCTTAGACTTGCCGTCATATAATATCATAGACATTCGTTACCGTGTCTATTATTAATCTCAACTATATATACTTTTGAAAGACTTCCTTCTATAAGAAAACCTTCCAATGTTGAAAAGTACAACCCACTTCTTGTTTCGTGGGCTTGCTGGTAGAGGGAAGTTTACACAATCATGAAGGACAAAAAGATGTCGATTCGATTACTCTTCCACAAACAGGCACCAGTTACCTTCTAATCCCAATAGATAGTCCGTACGTGATCTCCTGTTAACAGCAGTAAAAAAAAGCTA